CATTTCTTTAGTCCTGCCTCACCTTTTTTCACAAGATTCGAGGCTACTTACAAAAATACGTCTAATGAAAAAGGATAAAATGAATGGTTTTGAGAAATACAGCTCAGGATGAGAAAGGACAGTAGTAAGACTGAAACACGATGAGCACAGATCCAGCACTGTCATTGTTGGGTGCATGACTTGGGCAGACTTTCCTATAAACAGCGAGAAAACCCATGTGAAGTCCCGCATTTTGACACCTAGTCTAGTGTTTACATGTGGTCCCCTGACCTGCATTAATAAGATATCTTATAGAGACACCAGATTCCTGCTTCCTGTGTAATTCATAGAGCGATCCCAGGCTGCTCAGTAAACGAAGTCACAGCATGTGGGTGCCTTTGTCCCAGAAGCATTGCAATCAATCGTAAGTTTCAGATTGTCTCTCAAGTCAATATAGGCAGTCCAGGGCTCGAATGGCCCTTGATGGGTGTCAGAAACTCAGAGCCTCACATATTGTTCCTCTACCCCATGGCCCAAGATTTTCTTCTGCTGTGGGCAAAATGTCCCCTCCAGCCATCAGGAAGGAAGACGGAAGGATACACCCCCACCCTTTAAAGACAGATCTAGGAAGTTGTGTGGCGGACACTTTAATACATCCTTTGGCCAGAACTTAATCACATTGCCACACCTGGCCAAGAAGGCTGAAATTATTCCAGGCCTAGCTAAAAGCAAGCTTTCTATTTGTTAAAGCCAAAAGGCAGTACTGTCGTCCCTTGGTATCCATGGGGGATTGGTTCCAAGATCCCCAAGGATACCAAATTCCATGGATGCTCAAGCCCCTGATATAAAATGGGGTAGAATTTGCATGTAACAAATATGTATCCTCCCATATCCTTTAAATCATCTCTAGATTGCTTAGAATGACTAATGCAATGTAAATGCTATGTAAATAGTTGTTACACTGTATCGCTTTTTATTTGTATCACTTTTTATTGAAAGTTACTTTACCACAGTTCTGGAGGCTAGAAGTCCAGGCTCCAGGCGTTGGCAGGGTTGGTTTCCTCGGAGGCCTCTCTCCTTTGCTTGCTGGCACCACCTTCCTGCTGTGCCCCCATCTTCATGTGGCCTTTCCTCTGTGCACAGGAACCCCTGGTGTCTCTCCAGGTGTCCTGATCTTCTCCTGTAAGGACACCAGGCAGATTCGATTAGGACCCACCCTAGTGGCCCTGTTTTAACTTAATTACCTCTTTGAAGATCCTATCTCCAAATAAGTCACATTCTGAGGTACTGATGGGGAGAGGTGGGGGTTGCAGCTTCAACATATGAATTTGGTTGGGGAGGAAGGAAGGGGCATGATTGGGAGGAACACAATTCAGTCCACAATAGGCAGAATAGATATAGGAAGACAAGCAGTAGTCTCTTGCCACGTAACCTGCCAGCATCCCTGTAACTGAATAAATACTGCAGTAATTCTTTGGAATCTTCTGTTCTGTCTCACCTTTTAAATCCAAGACTCCTCAAAAGCACGAGTCCCAGAATTAAATGCAGTGCTTTGCACCTGTAGGTGCTCAGTGACTGCTTGCAGGTGTTGGTGGTGACTGCTCATGGAATCACAGCCTGAGCAGACACTGGAACTCAGGATTCCTGATTCTCTACCACCTACTCCGCCCAGCATGCTGCACTGGCTCTTTTAAGTTCTGACAACCAACACACCACTACGCACCATGTGGGAACTTAAAGTCATATGTTTTTGTGTCAGATTTTTCATATCAAAGATTACAAGGCCCTAAAGCTTTACACAATTCTAGGGCTACTACAGAGACCCCAGCAGATATCAAACTATTTTAAGCCCTTATATCAAAAGCCATTTGAATCCTTTCTGGACCATTTTGCTTTGTTTTGTTTTCTATGGACACTCTGCAGAAGTTTTAGGAGGTAAGGGTGAGTTGTCACAAGGTCAAAGCCAGCATATCACAACTCTAGGAAAAGTTGGAAGATCGCTGCCCTAACCTCAGTTGCCTCTCCCCTGGAGCATCCAGTTTGAACAAAGACAAAATGAGCCTCAAACTTGGAACAGTATTTTTTTCTTCCACTTCCCTAACCAGCTTGCAAGCTGCCTCCCATTGAGTCAGAGTGAGATTTTACTTGGCAAAGACAATTTCACCTAATGTATGCCAACAGCCTTGTTCCTGGGGTACCTCTCAAATCCACCCCAGGATTCTAGGCTCCCGTACTTCCCTGTAGCAGGACTTGGCTCCCAGGAGGCTGTGAAGTTTCCATGGAGGGCCCTGTTGGCACAGCCTGAGACATAGTCTCTTCTCCTAATCCATTTCTGCCCTAGCAACAGCTACCTCCAATGCAGCTTTGGAAGCTGTACAATATAGCTAATTGTTTGCATTGGACAGTAGTGTGTTTAGAGCTTATACATCCAAACAGACTATTATTTTCTGCTATTTGCTAGTGGCAATGCCTGCCTGGTGACTTTGGCAGATGGAGAAAGGAGCTAATCCGTAGGTTATAAGCAGAAGGGTTATTGATGAAATGTCACCATCTGTTGGTGTCATTAAAATGATATGAGTCATAAAGAGTTGCTTTTGTGTTTTATCAGAAAATGATTAGCTTGAAGTTGAGAGAGAAGTTGCTAGATTGTGGATGGTAGTGATGAACAGAGCTCGGGGGAGGCATCAATCCCAGAACGGGGAGGAGCCTTAATGAACTCATCAGCTTGATGGGTCTTCAAGGAAGCTGACTGACCCTCTGCTCGAAAAAAAAAAATCATCTCTCATGTGAGATCGGGTATTTATTAAGAATGATGCAATGCCCCAAGGCTCCCATGCCTATTTCTGGGACAACTTCCAGGAGGTAAGGGGAAACTCATTCATTTGGGTTAAACAAGAAGGATCGTACCTGGGAGGGAACAGACAGGAAAACATACCTGTCTCCTTAATCCACATTGGCCCCATGACACAAAGATTATTCACATAGCTAGCTGGCACCTTGGGAGGCTGGTGAGCCCAATAGGGAATGATATTCTGTACAGCTGCTATATCCACAAGGAAGAGACAGAGGTGGCATAGAAGAGGGACCAGAGCCAGCACACCAAGCTTCCATCAAAGATTTCTTCCATTTCAGGATGGAAGAAAGCAATGGATGAAATAATATGTGAATTGCATAGCAAAGAAACAGGGAGTGTGAGGTGTGTATTTAATAAGGATCCAGGGCACCAAACTAAACTGTGCCAACTTCCTGATTCTGCCTTATTATTATACCTAATTCCTTTAAATTCCATCATGTTTGCTGTTTACAAATTCTTTTACCCACTGCCAAGGACATATACCCAAAGCAGAAGAACCTGTTGTTACCAACCTTTTTCAACATGGCCTGGCATCCCTTTTTTAAATTATTATTTCAAATTGTAACCCCTAGAGAGAGTTGAAGAGATTGTATAAACCACTACACATACTTTCGGCAGTACCTCAGGTTTGCCAGGTCAATAAACAAGACGTAGCATTGCTGCGAGCCCGGCCTCGAGGCCAGCTGACCTTAGCCTGCCTCTCCTGCCACCTCTGTAGGGACACAGGTGCTGGAGGGGTGCGCTGTTACTGTTTGAAAAGTGTGTGGTGCTGGAAGCAAAAGCCCCAGGGGTGGGAGCTTTCTAAAGTTATTTATATGGTCTCAAAAGGAAGCATCAGTGGAAAAGTTCCTGTTGATATTTTTAGATCTGTTGCGTGGTCCACTGCTGCACTTTCATTTTTAAACAAGCAGGGAAGGGAGTGATTGATGATGTCTACAGTGCTGTTTTGGAAGTGTTGAGGGCTCAGCTGACAGTCTAATAGTCACCCCCTGCTGGGCCCAGATCCTCCATCTCTTCCAGCCCTGACTTCAGAAGCTACTGACTTCAGTGGCTGACAAATAAAACGCTGGCCACTGGCTGCCAAGTCAGAGACTCTGAAGTTTCTTCCCTGGCTCCAACACCCTGTGCAGGTTCAATGTCTTGCTCGACTTCTACCTTCTGTTTCTGAGGACTGAGGCATATGTTTGCATAAGTTGTCTTTGGCTGCAAGTACAATGGCTTAGAACTTAACTGTGGTTAAGCAGGTGACTAACTGACAACCTGAGAAGGGTGTGAGGGTGAGAGGGAGAAATGAAGAGAGGTCAGTCAATGGGTACAAACTTACAGTTAGATAGAAGAAATCAGTTCTAATGTTCCTTAGGAGACTAGGGTGACCATAGCTAGCAACAACACGCTGTATGTTTCAAAGCTAGAAGACAGGGCTCAGAATATTACCACACGTAGAAATGAAACACTCAAGGTGATGGAGACCCCAAATACCCCGACTTGATCATTACACATTCAATGCATGTAAAAAATACACGTACCCCATAAATATGTAAAGTATCAATGAAAGAAAAAAAACACAACTACACAAAAATCTATGCACTTAGTTATTCCAAGGCCAGTGGGAAGTTAATCTCTCTTAGTAGTATTACTGAATTGTTTCTGTGGTTACTTTCATTGGCCTGATGAAAATCAGTGTTCAAAACAAAAAAGAGAAACAAAGAAATTTTAATTTTTATCAGTGTTCTCCTTCCCCAGGAGCCTGAAGCTTGTGGCTCTGTCTTCAAGGAAATGGAAAGATGGGGGAGATGGTGGTCATCAAGTCTTTTCCTCCACAGATAGTTTCTTATAAGAAGCTCGTGAATTGTACTTGTAAGCCCACTCCAGTTGAATAATCAGTTGATGAACATGAGAAGCTGAAGAGCATTCAAGAGAGAAAAGAAAATTCTTACATGCTCATGGCTGGGCAATGTATTATTTGTTCCTAGGACTCAGACTGTGACAAATGAGGTTTTCTTACAAACCTCAAAAACACACATATGAAGCTACTGGAATGAGTCCAGAAAACTCCTGATAAGACATGGAGCTTTCCCCTTGTTCTGTGCTCCTGCTGTTGTGCCTGTGTACATTTAACATTTTTGTTTGTTTAATTTTACCTCTTTTTCTGCCACAGACCACAGAGACAGCTGATGATGAGGAGGACCAGCCTCTTAGCCTTGCCTGGCCTTCTGAAACCCGCAAGCAAGTCACATTTCTGATCGTTTTCCCCATAGTGTTTCCTCTCTGGATTACCTTACCTGATGTTCGCAAACCTGTAAGTAAAGCATTTTTAAAATAGTTTCCTTGTAAAACGTATGGTACATAACAGGGTGCATAGTCTGCTTCAGTTTGTGTTAAAAGGAAAGAGGAAATACACTTGTATCAAAATTTCACATGTACCGCAAAAATAGGTACAACTATTATGTAACAAAAAAAATTTAAGTTTAAGGAAAAAGAGAAAGTGACATATAAGAAGACACAAATTTCTCTCAGCAGACACACAATCATACTGATTGTTCAAGTTATCAAATCTGCATAACAAACTACCCCAAAACTTAGTGATGTGAAACAACCATCATTTTAGTCTGCCCTTGGATCCTGTCAATCAGGAATTTGAATAGGACACATTGTGGATGGCTTGTCTCTGCTCCATAATGTCTGTGGCCTGAGTAGGAAGACTTGAAGGGTTACGTGTATCTCATCTTGGAGCTACAATCATCTGGAGGCTTCTTTGTCGTTTCTGGCACCTGGGCAGAAATTATTCAAAGACTAGGCTCAGCTGGGACTGTCTACTGGAATGCCTAAACATGGCCTCTTCATGTAACTTGGGCTTCCTCACAGCATGGTGGCCTCAGGATAGTGAAATGTTTTATGTAAGAGGTGAGTCAGGACTCCAAGAGTGAGTGTTTCAGTGACAGAATGCAGAAGCTGCATGGTCTATGATGATTCAGTCCCAGAAGTTACATAGATTCACTTCTGCTATGCCCTACTGACCAAAGCAGTCATAAGTGTGTCTTGATTAAAGGGGAAGGAGACAAAAAGTTTACGTAGAATACATCAGTGTCATGTAGCATATCACTCTCCTGTTGGGAAGAGTGTCAAAGAATTTGCAACTGTGTTTTAAAACCACCACAGTGATTGTCTCTGAGAAGGTGAGAAGGGCGACTGAAGGTCTGAGGCAGGAAGGTTACTCACATTTTCTTGAGCATTCTTGTGACTATGAACATTATTAATTAATTCAAAAATGTAAAGAGATGCATTTATGTAATATAAATGCCTACATGTCTGATGTTCTCTCTCTTATGTTACTATCATTACTTTAATCGATTTTATTATCTACCATTATCATGTACTGGGTGCTCTGAACACAACATCAGCCAAGTACACTCTGAGTGTAGACCATATCAAGAGTATACCCCCACCCACTATTGTTGAAGTGAGTTCTTGGGCCATTAGCCCCAGAGGTGAAAGAACTAATGAGAGAAGGAGAAACAGCTCTACTTAGTATAGCACCACACATACAAACTCATTCAACAAAACTGTATACCTAATATGCATCAGATTCTGTACTAAGTGTTCCCCGTGAGAGTCTCATTTCTGCTTGGAACAGCGCACAGTATACTCAGAAATCCAGTCCATCCCAGGGCTGGCCCTTGCAGGAAGCAATGAGAGAAGCCCCAGCAGCTACCCTGCCCATGCTTCAGGGACTGGCTCTCAAAGGGGGACTGCACAGGGAGGAGAGCATTGTGGACAGCTCCACTTTCTTGTTCTGTGCATCAGCCAGGGCAGTTGTCATAAGCCGGGTAACAACTGCCTTGATTGATTCCTGTTGGTTTGCCAGCAGCTGCCATCAGGAGGCTTTGATCTTCTCTAATACCTTCTGGATCTTTCAATTCAGATTGGCAAGAGGATGAACATTTTGCCCACCTTTATTCTAAAAGTCCTTCCCAACCCTGAGAGCCCAGGGCCTTGAGTTATTGGCCCACAGTAAACTATATTATGTAATTTCAGGAAACATCTAGGGTAGGAATATGTATATTGTTGGCATAAATAGAAAAACTTAGGCACAAAGAAATTAGCTAATTTATACCTGGTCATTTCCTAGAAAGTAGGGCTGAGATCCAGACCCAGGTCTATGTGACCACATGGCTTTGGCTTTGCTTCATATTTAGTGATGCCAGAAAGTAGAAAAAAAAATCATTTAAAAAAAAAATCATTTCTAAAAGCACTTGGAATAGAATATTTTGATAACTTTCAGCATAATTTATCATTAAGTCTTCAAGAGCTCCTTCATTTGAAAAAGACAGAAGAAAAAACCCATCCCATTAGCCTCGCCCTTAAATAATGCAGCCTAGTGGAGAGCCATGTCTTGTCAAGTAGACAACAAGAAAGGGTATCTTGTAGGGACTCCCAACAGTATAGGTTTCCTGGTAAAGGATACATGACACAGGTGTGGCTCACTTAAAGCAATATTTAAGCTTCTTTATTCAAGATACCATTGTACAGCATCTGCACTATGCAAAGGCCTGGCTTCCTGAAAACCCACAACCAAACAGCTGAATGTGTTTGATTTTTCTTGGCTCACACCACATTGACATTTCTAAGATATGCATGCATTGTCTCTAGTGTCTCTCTCCCTCTCTCTCTCTCCCACCCCCCCGCCCCCATTGCTCTGCTGTTTAGTCCAATGCTTTTGTTTGGCCCTAGGGAGGAAAATCAGGGAGACAGATACAGTTTTCTAAATTCCCAAAAAGGGCTTCATGTGGTGTGGCCCCCAGCAGAGTGAGCAGATTGGTTGATGAGAGGATGTTTGCATACAACCATTGAGGCACTCAGGAAGATGTGCAGGAATGGGAGGAAGATGCCAGTAAGTCAAGGCCCTTGACTCTCACGGGTGGGAGGAACTCAGAGAAAGGGCTGGCAAAGTGTTTATCCTCTTGGTAATCTGAGTTGAAAGGTCAAAGCAGCTTTTAGAGAAGATCAAAAGCTCCCAACTGGTAACTTTTGGAAAACCAACAAAAATCAATCAAGGCAGTCGTTACCTGGGTCATGACAACTGCTCTGGCTGATGCCACAATCCCGAGAGGCACAGAGGAAGAAAACAGAGCTGTCCCCAGTCCTCTGCTCCCTGTGCATTCCCCCTCTGAGAGCCAGCCCCTGCAGAATGAGCAGGGTAGCCAGCGGGGCTTTACCTCATTGCTCCCCCAAGTGCCAGCCCTTTAATGGACTGGATTTCTTTTCTTTTTCTGAGTATAATCTCTGCTGTTCCAAGCAGAAATAAGACTTTTATGAAGAACACTTTGGTTTTTTTCAACTGCCTTCTCAAATATTTATTGAGCACCTATTATGTGCCAAATACTGGGCCTTAGCCAGTGTTTAAGAGATATAAAGACAGGATTGCTGGCAAGATGGCAAAATAGGAACAGCTCCAGTATGCAGCTCCCAGCGAGATCGACACAGAAAGCAGGTGATTTCTGCATTTCCAACTAAGGTGGGGTGTGGGACGTCACCTCACCTGGGAAGTGCAAGGGATCAGGAAATTCTCTCCCCTACACAAGGGAAGCTGTGGAGGGACTGTGCCATGAGGAACAGTGCACTCCGGCCCAGACACTGTGCTTTTCCCACAGTCTTTGCAACTCACAGACCAGAAGATTCCCTCTGGTGCCTATGTTACCAGGGCCCTGGGTTTCAAGCACAAAACTGGGCAGTCATTCAGGCAGACACTGAGCTAGCTGCAGGAGTGGTTTTTTTCCATACCCCAGTGGTGCCTAGACACCAGTGAGACAGAAGCGTTCATTCTCCTGGAAAGAGGAATGAAGCCAGGGAGCCAAGTGGTCTGGCTCAATGGGTCCCACCCCCACGGAGCCCAGCAAGCTAAGATCCACTGACTTGAAATTCTTGCTGCCAGCATAATAGTCTGAGGTTGACCTGGGATGCTTGAGCTTGGTGGGGAAGTGATGTCCACCATTGCTGAGGCTTGAGTAGGCAGTTTTACCAACACAGTGTAAACAAAGCCACTGGGAAGTTCAAACTGGGCAGAGCACACTGCAGCTCAGCAAGGTCTCTGTGGCCAGACTGCTTCTATAGATTCCTCCTCTCTGGGAAGGGCATCTCTGAAAAAAAGGCAGCAGCCCCAGTCAGGGACATATAGATAAAACCCCCATCTCCCTGAGACAGAGCACCTGGGGGAAGGGGCGCCTGTGGGTGCAGCTTCAACAGACTTAAACATCCCTGCCTGCTGGCTCTGAAGAGAGCAGCAGATCTCCCAGCACAGCATTCAAGCTCTGCTAAGGGTCAGACTGCCTCGTCAAGTGGGTCCCTGACCCCCGTGTATCCTGACTGGGAGACACCTCCCAGTAGGTGCCAACAGATACCTCATACAGGAGGGCTCTGGCTGGCATCTGGCAGGTGCCCCTATGCGATGAAGTTTCCAGAGAAAAGAACAGGCAGCAATCTTTGCTGTTCTGCAGCCTCCACTGGTGATACCCAGGCAAACAGGGTCAGGAGTAGACCTCCAGCAAACTCCAGCAGACCTGCAGCAGAGGGGACTGTTAGAAGGAAAACTGAGCCACTCACACTTGTAATCCCAGCACTTTGGGAGGCCAAGGCAGGCAGATCACGAGGTCAAGATATTGAGACCATCCTAGCTAACATGGTAAAACTCCGTCTCTACTAAAAATACAAAAAATTAGCCAGGCATGGTGGCAGGTACTTGTAGTCCCAGCTACTCGGGAGACTGAGGCAGGAGAATGGTGTGAACCCAGAAGGCAGAACTTGCAGTGAGCCAAGATCGTGCCACTACACTCCAGCCTGGGCAACAGAGCAAGACTCTGTCTCAAAAAAAAAAAAAAAGGCAAACTAAAAAACACAAAGGAATAGCACGTCCACTCAGAGACCCCATCCGAAAGTCACCAACTGCAAAGACTGGAGGTAGATAAATTCACAAAGATGGGGAGAAAGCAAAAAGGCTGAAAATTCCAAAAACCTGAATGCATCTTCTCCTCTAAAGAATCACAACTCCTCACCAGCAGTGGAACAAAAATGGATGGAGAATGAGTTTGATGAATTGACAGAAGTAGGCTTCAGAAGGTGGGTAATAACAAACTCCTCCAAGCTAAAGGAGCATGTTCTAACCCA